CACAAACAAGGCCATACTAAAGCTACCAGCACAACTATGTTTATTGCAGCATTATTTACCATAGCTAAGATATGGAACCAGCCCAGATGCCCCTCAGTAGATGAATGGATCAAGAAAATGTGGTATATATACACAATGGAATTCTATGCCTCCATCAGAAAGAATGGCATTGCTTCATTTGTTAGAAAATAGAAAGACTTGGAAAAAATTGTATTAAGTGACGTAAGCCAGGCACAAAGAAACATGGGTCCCATGGTTTCCTTTATTTGCAATAACTTGTATATGTCTGAGACAAGCAGAAAAGGTCAAATAAGATGATGTTAAGTGAAATGAACCCAATGTATTTATGAACCCCTAATGTATTTATAAGGTACCACTTGATTTTTTTTGTTGCTTTGTATGTCTCTCCCCCATGGTATAACCCCTGTTTTCACTATATTTCACTATAATTTAGGGAGCAAAAGGGAAAAAACAAATTGTTTAAATAGGGATACAGGTAAACCCATTGTAACAATGAGATGTACAAGACACTATGTCAAAAAACCAACTTTACAATTTAGGTGGGAGGTGGAGGGTGGGGGTAGTGGGGGGTGGCAGGGGGGATGTAGTTGTGGAGGTGGGAGGGAAGGGATGGTAGGGCAAAAACAAAGGAGGAGGCAACAATGCTTGATAAGAAATGTACTTGTTACCTTGCTCATATGATTGTAACCCCTTTGTACAGTATTTTCACAATAAAAAACTTATTAAAAACAAAAAACAAAATCAACTGACAACTGTAAAAACCAATGAAAGGACTTAATAAAGAATTAGTTTCAAAATAAGGGTTCAAAAATATTGTTTTCCTATATTTGAACAGTAGTGTTAGTTATTAGAAAAGAAATATTCATTGAGACCCACCAGAGAGGTCCAAATCATGTAGGAATAAATTTAGGTAAGAAGTAGCTAGACTCAGCAAACTAAAATAACTCCTCTAAGGCATATAAAACAAGGACAATTGGGAGAATTAACAAATTATATGTCCAATGATAAGATGTAGTCAATTCATTTATGACATGATATTATAAAAATGATATGACTATAAAAAATTGAAAAACTGGATGCGGTAGTACATTCTGTAATCTTAGCACTAAGCACTTAGGAGGCTGATGAGAGTATCTCAAGTTCAAGGTCATCCTAGGCTACATAGTAAGACTATCTCAAATATTTTTTTAATTTAGAAAAATATCATACTGTGTTTTTGAATTTTAAATGGCAGATTATAAAAAGAGTATAATGTGACTTTAATTTTGTTTTAACAAGTATTCACATATACATAAAAGATGTCTAAACTGTGCTTATCTTTAATTGATAGAAATAAAGGTAGCTTCAGCTCTCTGCCCTAAATTTGTTGCTTTCCATATCTTCTACAAAAGATAAATCATAATAAAATAAAAGTAGGCATTGTTGCTAGCCATCGGTGGCTCACGTCTATAATCCCAGCCATTCAGTAGGCTGAAATTTGAGGACTGAGGTTTGAAGCCAGCCTGGACAGGAAAGTTTATGAGACTCTTACCCCCAATTAATTGCCAAAAAGCTGGAAATGGTACTGTGGTTCAAATTGGTAGAGCACTAGCCTTGAATACAAAAGCTCAGGGATAGAGTGCCCAAGCCGTGAGTTCAACTCCAGGAGAGGCACATACACACACACACACACACACACACACACACACACAGAGAGAGAGAGAGAGAGAGAGAGAGAGAGAGATACAGCATTGCCTTCTCCTGGAAGCCCATAGTGGAATTCTGGCAGGTCTTATGTCTTACGCCTCCCTGAGCAGGTCAGGGAACCCCTTGGTCCTGAGTGTGGACCTTCATGCATATATGTTGAAAGCTTGACATTATCATCCTGGAGGGACCCATACTCCAAAAACAACACCTGGAAAAGAGGCAGGCAGAAAGAAGCCTTGCTGGAAAATGCAAGTGCTGACCCAAATTGACCTCCCAGAACCTTCTAGGACTAGCCAGAGTTCCTCAATATCTTTCTCTCTTCTCTCCCTCCCACCTCCCACTTTCTCTCCCACCACTGTCTCTCTCTTTTACACACACACACACACACACACACACACACACACACACACACTCCACATGTCTGGGAATAACAAAGAACATCAGCCTGCTGTCACCCACTGAGGCGTCTTGAATCCCAAGTTGCGATCTAAGCTATAGAATGTCCTATTCCCACTGACCCATGCAGCCTCACCTGACCCCCAGCCTTCACATGGGTAAAACAGGATTGAAATCCCAGGATGCACCAGGAAGTAGAATAAGGGCATTTGTTTCGGAGACTCTGCCCTAGAGTTTTCTCCCCATCCTTCACTACTGCATGCTGGGTACATACATGTGAGCATTACTTTTTTGCTAAGTCTCAGGAGATACCACTTCTCTTTCCCCTCCTCTGTTCCCTTCCCCAGCCCTCAAAGGGAAATCAAGGAGCCCACAGATAAGTAAGCAATACATACATGAGGACTGGCTGGAGAAGACGCCATGTTAGTAGGAGCCAAACTGGACAGACCATCTGCAAGCTACAAATTAAACATTCTGGTTAGCCACAGGGTTAGAAGATCCACCTCAGGGAAGACAGGACAGCCCTGAGGGAACAGTGCCCTTGCTCTCTCCATCCAGGCACCACTCCACCAGTCATGGGAAGAATGTCCTGAGATGGACAAACCTGGCTGCATAGCCCTATAATCTGTATGACTTGAGGCAAGCACTGATCTCTCTAACTAACATTCTCATCTGGAGAATGGGTGCAAAACCTATTTCACAGAGCAGCAGTAAGCATGAGCAAGACAAAGTTTATGTCAGTACAGCTGTAGGTGAGGCACAGAAAGAGGCTCCATCAATGCTATCTTATTTCTTTGTCTCTTCTCTTGGTCCTGTCCACTTAGCTGCTCTCCCTATCTTTCCTAAGTCTACATCAGGGACTTTCTTACCCCCAACAACCCTCTCATGAGCTCCTTCACTAGCTAAACCATCCATCTCTGCCGAGCAGGGCTCCTAAGTGAGGGCATATTTCTCATCCTTCTTGCCTCAAGAATCACAGCATCTCACAGCTCCCCCAGAGCCTTAAATTGGGAAAACTCAAAAATTCCATCACCCAACCCACCATCCCTCTCCTACAAATGGCTGTAGGGCCAAGGAGGGCCTCAGAGCTCGGGACCAGAGACAGGGAGACTGGTTGGTCCTAGAAGAAGTTGACTGGGTTCTGGGTGGAGGCGACAGCTTCACAGGTGGACAAGGCAAAGGCGTGTATTCTTGGCAGAGGGTTGGTGAGGGCAGACGAATAAAGAAACACAGCACAGCTGAGAAGGCAAACAACCCAGGAAGGAAGGCAAGGGCAGTGGAGGGCAGTCCCAGAAAGGTAAGGGTGGGGCCAGAAGGGATGCAGAGTTGCAAGGCTGTCTCTTTCTCGAAACCTTGAGCAGAGGGCTCTAGGAGGTATCTACAAAGGCCAAGCTCCATGCTGACCTCACATCAACACGAGGAGGAGCCCAGGGGAAACATTCCACATGGAGGAGGAAGAAGCCTTGTTGGAAAATGGAGAGGGTTGAAGGCAATAGACCTCTTCCTGCTCAGTACAAGGAGCATCACTGAGTGGGGGGAGGGGGTGCACCAAATCCAGAAGCCTGAGTAGGAGGGTAGAATAGCCAATGGCAACCACCCAGGGCTGCTGGCCACATGTTGCTGGACACAGTCTAAGCCCTGGATCAGACTGGACAAACTCCATGTACAACCCCCAGCTCACCAGAGACTGGCCTGCCTCTCCTATTCTCATCCTGAACCGCACTGATGATTTATTTTTATTTTTATTTGAATACAGTTCTTTTTTAGAAAGGTAAAAGGGAAACAGGCAGTTCAGCAGAGCAAAAGCATGAAAAAATAAGGTTAAACATAGTGCTCCAAAGATCTGGTCCAGCTTCAGAAATTACACATTCCTTTTTTGAGATGTGGGCATAATTTGCTGCTCCGATTCTGGAAGTGCACTTCCACCTTCATGCTCTCCCAGAGACTATAACTAGAACACCAAGCTCAAAATTAGGCCCAGCTGGGGGCCCGGGGGACTGGAGATCTGCAGCTCTGGGAACCTGAGGGCCTAGGGACCAGGAGCTTGGGGGACTAGGAGCCTAGAAGCCAGGGGATGTAAAGGTGAAGACCTAGGGTGTGAGAGCCTAGGGGTATGGGTGGCTGAAGGCTTGAGGACTAGGGTTCTGGAGGCCTAGCAATCAAGGAGCCTGGGACCCAAAGGCCTTGGAATGAGAAAACCTAGGGCCTGAGATCCTGGAAAGCAGGGAATTACTGGGGTGTAAGGACATGCCAGTCCTTGTACCTCAGCCCACAGGCATGAGGAGCAGGTCTATGTGTCTATGCTGCTTTCCAAGGATCTTCCAGACCAGCCTGTCAAGTGTCTCTTTGCAAACTTCCATGCCCAATATATATTCACACACATTACCTCTAACACACACATGTATATGTACACATACACCATCTATCACACACACACACATACACACACACACACACACACACACACACACACACACACACACACACACACCACTCCCAAGCTATCAGTCTGAAACCTATATAGCAGTCAGCCACAGAGTGTCTCATCCAAGCCTTCATGGCCTGAGTGGGTACTCAGAATCTCCTTAGCCCCAGTACAATCCAGAAGGCCAAGCTGATAGATCTGTCTTATATATCCAGAACTAACCACTCGACACAAACCAAGACACTACTGGCCACCTGAGTGCTGCCCTGAGTTCCAGCTGTGGCTGGAACATTGAGTTTCAGGTGACATTTTTCATCTGTGTGGTAGACTCCTCTCAGGACCTGGCAGTGGATGGGAAGAAGGCTTCTTGGACAGAGAGAAGATATAACTAAGGGAAGAAAAGAAGGCAGAATCTGGCAAGAATGGGAATTGGCTTGGAAGGAGCCCAAGGCTGGGACCATAGCCAAGACTTAGTGTACAACCAGAGGTGTGGTATCAACTATAAGAATGAAACATAGGCTGGACAAGCAGAAGCCAGGAAAAATCCCTATCTGTCAGACTTCCTGTGCCTCCAGTCCCTAGAGGCCAGGTCCTTTCATTTTATCTACAGAGGAAGAAGAACAGGGAAAGAGTGCTTAGCCAAAGGAACTCGAGCCCTCTGTACCTAGATCAACCTTGGAGGAGTCCCCGGTCCTCCACTAGGTCAGGGGTTACAAATGGGAGATGGAGGAGTGAGAGACAGAGAGATGGAAAATCTGGATCATTCAAGCCAGATCAATAGATGTCAGAGAAAAACAGTATACAAAATCAAACTCCACACCATAGACTTCTCCAGACAGTCAGGCCCAAGGAGGCCAGTCTAAATTTGAGGCTGAACTTGGAGCTCCTTCAGAATTAGACAGTAAGGGTAGGGCCCAAAATTGTTCCATCAGAACAGGCTGGTCTTACTTCCTCCTCTTCCTGTCCACTGACCAGGTGAGGTTGGGCCTTCCCTCTATGACACATTTCTAGGAGCCCAACTCCCACTGGCCACCCTTCTTACTTGCCAGCAGGTCTAGCAAGAATGGCCATGCATTCCACAGGCCTGGCTATGGCTCAGACCCCAGCCCCAGTTCCCTCGTGTCAACACTGGGAGGAGGTCCAGCCTGGGCCTCCTCACTGTCTGCCTCTGGCTGTTTGTAGCCAGCAGGACCCAAAATAAAGGGAACTCTGCATCTGAGTCTGTAGACACTTTAAGGGCAGCACATAGAGAACGGAAATCCTGTGGGCAAGCACTGCACTTTCCTGCTGTCTCAGACAGGCCCACCAAGGGGGTGGAACACAGGAGCTAGGACCAGACAATCCAGAGTTTGGGGCTAATTCAGCTATAAACACTCAACCAGGCCAGAGGCACAGTGTGGAGTTTAGCTACAGTTCGTGTAGAACCATCTGAAATTTCCACTTGGCCTTTCCAGACAGGAGAGGTTTGCTCTCAGACTCATCCAGACAGTGGACATGTCATCTCTTTCCACCCATCCCCCACTTATCCATATTTGCCTGTCCAGACAGACTCACTGAACACTTCTCTAAGTCAGGCCCTGTGCTGGACAATAAGGGTATAAACAGAATGACAATCCAGTTGTGTTCTGAACTCAGTCCATGGAAGATGTTGAGACTGACAGATATACAGGACCGGGGGAGTGGGTGCAGTGGTCAAGATCCTGTAGGAGAAGAGTAGGGAAGACACCTACATTGAGGCTTAAAGAATGAGGAGTCAGGCCACAGATCAGGACAAAGTTTTCCTCAGCAGAAGGAAGGAAGGACAGAGACCTGAAAGCCATGAAGGGGCTGAGAGATGAGGGCTCAGGGCTTTGGTGACTTCTTATATTATCAGTAAAACTACAGAACAAGATCACCACCCTCAGCAGCCACGAGGCTACAGAACTGAACACTGGAGATGCTCTGTTGGCAATTGACAGAAAGATGGGAGGGTGACAAAGAGGAAGAAAGCACCCTAAATGTCCGAGGGAAGCCCTGCATACACATGGCCAGGCGTAATTTTACAAGTGAGGCCTCCTATCCTGAAGCTAACCCAGCACCTTACGGCACAGGATGGATGGATGAAGAATATAGACCACTCCAGATAATGCCACTGTCCTGGGTAAGTCAACAGGTGGTAGCCTGAGGACACAGTGCTGCCTACTAGGCTGGGAGGAGGTGCTTTCCCCCCAGGGTTCCAGGAAGTGCTAGAAATCTGGGGTAACAGAATGTGGAGCTCGCAATGTGCAAAGGAAGGTGAGAGCTCAAACGGTGAGTTCAAGGCTAGTGCTCATTTCTCTATCCCTACCATAGGAAGGACCAGGTAGACACAGCCCTATGTGATCCAGAGCCCCTCTTGGGCCCAAGATGGAGACAATGCTGTCCCTGGGTAGAAGATGCCACAGACAGCCAGTCACAACTTTTTCACTGCAGCTAGGTCACCAGTGGACTAAGTTCCCTCCAGTCTGGAGCCTTTTCATGTCCTTCCTGTTCCTTTCCCTTCTTTTTCCTGAGGGCATGGGACAAGATGCACCAGTGGCCTAGGCATCGTCTTTCTAAACTGCCTCCAAAATGCCACCAAATACAAATCCATGGAAAAAATCTCCCCCCATTCGCTCCAATAAGGGGACTGCCCAGGTTAGGGTAGTTAGGGCTGGAACACCCCAAGACTTCAACATTTCCTCTCATCTGCCTTCTCTTTCATTTGTTTCCCTACCCTGATTTGCTGAGTAAATGCCCTCAACATGACCCTAAGATAAAGAGGCCCAAGAAAAAAAGGTTGGTAATCTTACCCTGAAGACCACTCAGCCCCTCTTTCAACGGAACTGAATCTAATCCCCAGTCAGATTCTTTTACTTGTGGCACCCATCCCACCCCTACCCCCAGAGTGTGAAGGGAGATGTTTCATCATGGCTGCATTGTAGTGAAGCCAGAATGAGATGAGGAACAGAAGGAGAAGGGAAGATCGAAGGAGCCTCTCCCCTAGGACCCAACATACCTGGATGGGGATGAGGGGTTCCTTGTCATCAATGTCAATGAGCACATCTTCTCCAGGGCTGAGTAAACTCACATCATCTGTAGGAAGAGTGGTGTCCAGGCCTGTGGTGAGCTCCATTAGGATGCTGCCATAGGACCCCTGAGGATTTTCACACTTCTCTCACCTGATCCTTCCCTCTCTTGTTTCTTTCTATCCCATCTTGCCCCACACTCCCAATTCTCTCTTTCTCTCCTCACAAATCTCACTTCCTCTCATTGCCTCCTTAACATTTGCTTCCCCTTACCTCTTCCCACTGTCCCCCATTCCAACCACTGCTCCTCAGCTCCCCCAAATATGAGTTGCCTGCTCCAAGTGTCCACTGCTGAGGAAGGGGAAGGACCTACCTCTGGTGTAGCTGAGCAAAAGCCACTGTTCACTCCCTACCTGGGCCAGCATGAGGGGACGGACTCTCAGCTGAATAGGGGTCACATAGGAAACTCTCCAGGGAGCGGATAGTACACTGGCCCACCACAGGCCGGCGGCCAAACTGACGGTTATCAATGACCTTGACCACGATGGGGGGACAGTAGAGTTCCTCCCTGGGCAGCATCTAGAGGAGGAAGAAGCATGCTGTTCTGGATACCAACCTGAGCCCATCTCTGGGAAGTCTTAGGAAAAGAAGTAAAGAGAGTTCTTCACCATCGGATCAAGGAACAGAAAATGCCTGTAAACCCAGACTATCACCAAGAGCCAGAAATCCAAAATGGCTGTTGGCCTAGTGTAGGAGCTGAGGGCACACAACTTTCTGCTGGCCTCTTCATGCTACATGCAGAGAGGCTGGCTTCCCCCATAGCCGACACACTCAGCTCAGCCTGAAGTCTGAGCAAATCGACTTTCCCTGAACTCTCACTGGCTGAGGAGGGGGAGAGGAGAGTTGGCCCAGGACTCAAGATTTCTTGCAGACAGTCCCCCCCAAGTGGATACTCAGGAGTTGGCTTACAGACCCAGATTTTTCTCCCCCCACCCGAAATGTACTTTGAACACAACTTGAAATAATTTATATGCTCTCCTTCAGTGGCGGCTTTGGCTCAGCCAAGAGGAGGCTCCTGTTGACAGCCACTGGGCCTGGAATTTCTATAGAGCTTTCATCTTGCAAACTGTCATCTCGCAAACTGTTTTCCTTTCCTTAGACCTGCCTTACACTGGCCACTAGACCCAGGCAATCCAGAGAGCTGGAGAGGGCTGAGGGGGAGGGGGGACCACAAGGGCGGAGCTCCTCTGCCAGGCCAAGGCTGGGAGTCTCTAATAGGTCAGAGTTTGTAAGGTCCCTTGGGGGAACCCCAGGGATCAAACCTGTCCTGGAAAGAAAAACAGCCCTGGAATGGCTCCTGGGAAAGGAGGGGTCCTCTGATCCAGAGCTGGGCAGAAGAGAGCTAGCTAACTCCATCTGTGCTGCTCATAGGGCAGCACAAGCATTTCCTCCTTGTTGTTGCAGAAAAATGATGTGCTGGGAGCCTACAGGTAATTGGAGCTCAGCCCCTCGGATGCCCAGGGCCATGAAAACATCTAGCACTCTGGACTCCAGGAGGGGACAGAAAATAGGGAAATGGGGCTCACCACTTCCATGAAGAGAGTACAGATGTCAAAATTGGGGTTCTTCCGGAGGTTTCTGATGACACAAGACTGAACTGTCTGCCCCCCACACTCCACTACAAGGCTGGGGGATGAAATACTGGCCATCTGGTAGCTCTTCATATTCCGCAGGCCCCATGCCAGGATCTGAGGACAGGGGATGAGGACAGTGTCAGGGACAGGAAGGGAAATAGGCAGGCTGCCCCAAAGCCACCCCAACCCAGGGCCAGACTCACCTCAATGGCAGTGCGCTGCAGAACTGGCTTGATGTTCTGGGGAACCATGTAGATGTTGGCCTCCCTCTGAGGTGGTGGATAGGGCAGGTCTGTGTCATCCGACTGTAGCAAGTAGCACAGAGACAAAAGTGGCAGGAAGATCAAGCAAAGATGTAAGAGAAAAGAGAGACAGGATGGAACGCGGTGACATGCATTGAGAGACATAGGAACAGAAAGATGCAGACCCAGAAGTGGGCAAACAGGCAGACAGGAGGGTACAAAGTCCACTTTTGCCAGGCACCCATCCCCAGGATTCACAAATCCTCACAGTCATCCCTCCTCCCATAGATCAGGTTTTGAGTACCTGCTATTCTCTCTCTCTCTCTCTCTCTCTCTCACACACACACACACACACACACTCCATCCTAGCACATCCACTTCAGCCTCTGTTACCCACTGCCTCTCCTGCCCCTTGACTTTGACTCAACTGGATTATCATCCCCTTACCCAGATACTTCCAGCCCAACCCCACCCCTCACTTCTATGTTCTGTGAGAACAGAATATGTACACTGGAAAAACAGAGAAGCGGAGAAATGAGAGGAGACATCACCACAGCTCCGGGAGAGGCTCCCTCCATACCAAAGAGCAGGGATAAGAGAGACACCTGTCAACTCTGGCCTACTAACAATTTCCCAGAAAATCTTGAGAGAGCTACATGGAGGAGGAGGGCAAGAGAGGGGGGGTTACCTCCATTAGTTAACTATGACTGCGGAAGTTAGAAGCAAACATTGTGCAGGAACCATACCTCCACCAGTCATGAAGTTACATCATTTTCCTTTCTTGAACTCATTTGATCTATAAATAATGGTTAGTAAAAGTCACCTATCTCTAGCCATTAGTGTGAGGGCAATTAAAGCAAAATTTCCTTTTCTTTTAAGACTCTACTTCCATGTCAGAAGTCTCATATTTTACAAGTCTAATAGGACAAGACCCTTGACTGCCACCTACTGGAAAAATTTTATAATAATACAAATATACAGTATCTATGTTAGCCATTGCACCTTCTTTGGCCCAATGCCTTTGTGTAATGCTCATCTTGCTCCACCTCCATACACAGAGCCCTTGACCTCGAGAAAAAGTAAAATTATAATTAAAAGGACTGTTCTGGATATTTTACAGAGCTGGCTGTCCATAATCTTATTTAATAAACAATGGGATCATTGGATTCATTCTCTAAGTGACTTGCTTTAGGCTTCTTCTGAAAGAATGGTAAATATATGTTCAAGTGCTCTGACATAGAGGATGTAGGGCGAGGTTGGAACAAAAAAAGACTACTGCTTTCTCCTGTCTCCATAAGATTTCAACCGTCTCTCCTGTCCATTGGCCTCCTGATGACAGATATATTTCCCTGACCTAGAGCAAGGAGCATCTCAGTTCTAGAATTAGCCAAACTGGATTCCAGAGCCAGCTCCACCACTTCTTAGCTATGTGACGCTAGCAGATTACTCAACCTGTGACTCAGCACCATCAAAGAGATGGAGGATAACAAGATTTATGAAGGTGCCTTGAGAACTCAATGAGAGAAGGATCATAAGGAGTACCTGGCACAGTACACAGAGGGTGTTTAATAATTGGTAGTAGGTGTAATTATTCCTATTACTGTCAGTGCCATTGTTTTTGTCATTGGCATTAGTGCTGCTCTTGCTGAGGTGACTTGAGGAGAACTGGACTACCCAGAGCATCATTCAGAACAACACTGGCTTTATAACTATCCCTAGTCACCAGGACACAAAGTTGGAACTGGGTACTTTCCTCCAGGCCCAGCCTCAAATTGACATAATGTAAGAATCACTTACATGTTTGACTTCCCAGGCCGGGTTATGGGCAGGACATGCACTTGCAGAGGTACCATGCTTCACCCATCATGGTCCCCAGGAGAGTTGTCTCAGAGGGTGGAAACTGGACCTACACAGCTGCCACAGTGGCCTGGCTGCTAAGGGGACCCCTAGTTTCATGTCCACCCTAGCACTCTAAGGCTACCAACTTCAGGTGGCTGTGCATCCAGAGTGACTGCCTTAAAGGAAGGGCTGTACTTCAAGGACCATTTGTGGCCTGTTCTTGGACTCTAGTGGCTGATAACCAGCCCGCGGTGGGACCAAGACCAAAGGGAGCAAATAGCAGGAACAAGGGAAGGAACAAGTTCCTCTCGAGTGGGAGGCAGAAAGTCTGTTTCTTTTCACAGGGTAGTGACTGACATTTTTTGAAAGTCACCAAGGAAAATTCATTAATACCTTGCCCTCAGAACATATTTATCCTTCATGTCCATGTTCTAGACTTCTTTCCTAGCTCCCTCAAGCTCTGTGATAATGAGGTCCTCTCTGAATGCTAAGGATCCGGTTCCCCCTGGCCTTGCCTTGAACCCTCACCCTGAAGACAGAGCAAAGCCCTGCAGCAATGTAAGTGCTAGTACCGTCTGCAGAAGGCCCTGGAGGAAGAAGGCAGGAGCACACAGCTGTGGAGCACCAAGTCCACGGAGGCAGAAGGAAGAGAAGCAGAGACAGAGGTTAGAGGTGTGTCCTCAGCACAGGGCACCATGTTCATCCACCACACTGTTCCCACTCCCAGGACACACCTGCCTTATGCCATTTGGTGTTAACTGCGTGGGATCCCCATCTGTGTGACCCCTGGACTCCCATTGCTCAGCCTGAAAACTGTCCCTTCAGTCCTCTGCCCCCACCCCTGTCCCCCACCCACTGCACAGACTACACTGCATCTTGGTATCTGCAGCTACTGCTACACATGCTCTCCTGCATGCTCTCCCTGAATCCCATCTCTCCCAGTCCTTTCCTTTCTTCATGTTGTTGCCTGATCTTGCCTTCCCAGCACATGGCTGTCTACTCCATCCACATCATTTCCTCTGGGCTGTCTGAGGGAGCCATCCCTCCCTCTCTTCCTGTCTTCTCTCATTACCCTGCACTCTGCCTGCAAACTTCTCTTTCCAAAGTCAACCATTATCTCCTGAGCTCAGCCCAAAGGACACTTGTTCAGTCCTCAACAGCATCTGCCCAGCTGACCCTAGTCTCTCTTGGATTCTATACTACAGGGCCACTGCTACTCTGAGGCTGAGTCTCCCTGGCAACCTCCTCCTCTTCCTCCACAGCGCTACCAAGCCAGGGCTCCTTAGATCTCATAGACTTTCTGCTCCTGATTCTCTCTCCTAAATCTAGACACCGCCTCCCCCACCCTGCACCCTAGCATCTTTATTCTTAGTTCATCCATGTGTCCTACTAGCTTCTCATACTGAACTTGTCCCAAAGTGCATTCTTTTTTATTTTTTTTAATTGTAAAAATGCTGTACAGAGGGGTTACAGTTACATAAGCAAGGTAATGAGCACATTTCTTATTGGGCATTATTGCCTCCTCCTTTGTTTTCCAAAGTGCAATCTTGATCTCCCCTACCCCATTAAAAATAAAACTGCTTCTTTCAAATGCCATCCCAAAGACTGGCCCCACCTAGACAACCAGTCCATAAACAAATCAAAACAAAAACCCAATACCATACCACCCTTGGCTCCTCCTCTCTTCGCCACTATGTCTACTTGACCACCAATCATTGGAGATTTAAGTCCTTAATTGACTCTCTCCCTCCCATTCTCTCCCTCCCTCCCCCCTTCCCTCCCATCATTTGTTTTCTTTCCTTGGTTCAAGTGAGTACCTCCCAAGCCTGAACTGGCCAGCCTCACTCCTCACTGGCTTCCTGACATCTGATTTTGCACACTCCTTCCCAGCTCCCAATACACACTGTGTTCTGCAGCCAGGATGATCTTTCTAAAACTCTCACTGCCCACTTAAGGCCCTATAAGTCTTGCCCTATAAGTCTCAGAGCGAATGCACTCTTCAACATGGCCTTGAGGACTACTCATCTTCTAGCTCCTTCAGACTCCTCCAACCGCATCTCTCACCACATATATTTCCTTTCGAGGGCCCTGAATAGTGACAAGCCACCTCCCTAGAGAGGCTCAATCTTAGACAACTCTAGCAGGTGGCAGGCAGCACCATGCTTTCATTCACATTGAGGCTTGCAGTTCACTGTTGCTCCATGTGGAATACAGTTCTATTCCACTTCACTGGCTACCTCCTGCCTGGATGTCAGATGTCCCTGGTGCCCAGAGCACCCCTACCCATTGGTCTCATAGCCACTGTTCTTCATCCCTTTGAAAGGACACATCAGACACCCTGGACCACTGTGTTCCCTTGACTGTGCACCTGGTTACACCAGCAGTTCTGTACATGAGGGTCATAGCTAAATTCATCAAATAAAAAAAATACTCAGAATGGATAACTTAAGGAAAGGAGGGAGGAGGGGAGGAGGAAAGGCAGGAAAGAGGAAAGGAGAGAGAGGATAGCCAGTGCAATAGTGAGTGCAGCAGTACCTCAAGAAATGAGTCTTGCTGGGGAATGCTCCAGGTAGAGTACTTGATTAGCAAAGGTAATCCCTGAATTCAAACCTCAGGAATAGAAGGAAGGAAGGGAGGGAGGAAGGAAGGAAGGAAGGAAGGAAGGAAGGAAGGAAGGAAGGAAGGAAGGAAGGAAGGAAGGGAGGGAGGGAGGGAGGAAGGAAGGAAGGAA